GAGAGAGAGAGAGAGAGAGAGAGAGAGAGAGAGAGAGAGAGAGAGAGAGAGAGAGAGAGAGAGAGATCCTGTCCCAGTGTGCGCAAGCACAGAGTTGCCAGACGAAGGGAACACTAAGGAACAGGGGTCGACTTGGGAGTAAAGCCACAGGTGGACGATGAATGGCGCCACCAAGAGAAAATAAAAGAGGAGCGAAAGGGGAGTGGAATTTGCAGGAGACAGTTAATTTGCTTAATTGGTTTGTGACTCTCCGAGACTCCTGGCCAAGTTTTGCAGATAACGCCCTAGCAGCTCTCCAAGCCAGATAAGGTCTGTGACTGTAAATCCTCCCTTGAAAGATTTTGTGAATGAGCAGAATTCACAGTCAATTAATAAAAGGTTTTTTGTCAGGATATGGAGTTTACTTCGTGCTCTTGGGAAGATTCAGTCAGAATAGGCATGACATTGGGGTTTGGGAAGAGAGCTGGTGTGGTAAAGGCCTGTGTGAACTGAAAGGGAGGTTTGCTTTCAAGAATTACTGGGTTGCTGAGTGGAGTTGTTTACACCCAGTCCAGGCCAACCGTCCTAGGACTCCAGATGGATGAAATATCTGAAGATGAGCTTCACATGTCACTATGTGGGACGTGGATTGGACATTCAGCCTGGGACCCCTGAAGGGAGGGATTTGGGGAAATTTTCAACCTGCAACTTTTGTTCCTTTTGAATCAGATCTTGCCTTGCTTCCGCAGCTATCATTTCAACCTCAGTGAAAGTACCTCTTCTCTACTTTAATGGAGTCGAGGGTTTTTCCTTTCTTGGGCTTTGAACAGAGGCAGGCCTGACAGTTTTGCTTGACCCTCTGGCTTGAATCTCTTCACAGGCCAGTTAGAGACAGCGACGATGAAGAGGAGGATGAGAGGAAGGGGAGAGGTTGCACTCTCCAGTACCAACATGCCACAGTGCGGGTCCTTACCCAGTTTGTAGCTGAGCCCTTGGACTCTAGTGGTCAAACTACCTACCTGCTGGGCTCCGACTGGCAAGTGGACATCACCGACCTGGTAAAAAATTTCATGCAAGTGGAAGAGCCAAGGATCGCCAAGCTGCAAGACGGACAGGTGCTAATGGGGCAGGAGTTAGGAATGACTACATTACAGGTGAGCAAAATGGGCTGGGTGAAAAGACGGGTTCCTTCCTAGATCAGACCCAACGATTCATAGCTATCTTCATCGAACTGGAGGCTCTAGAGATGTTCACAACTAAGACACAAAGGCCACATGTTGCTCAGGGATACCGGGCACGTGAATTGGCGCGTTTCATTAAGTGCACAATCCATCCAACTGAATAACGAAATAACAGAAGAGTTGGAAGGGACCCTGGAGGTCCTCTAGTCCAACCCCCTACTCAAGGCAAATGGCTGTCCAATCTCTTCTTAAAAACTCCAGTGATGGAGCACCCACAACTTCTGAAATGTAGCCATTCCACTCATTAATTGTTTCCACTGTCAGGAAGTTTCTCCTTTGTTCTAGGTTGTTTCTCTCCTTGATTAGTTTCCATCCATTTCTTCTTCTCCTGCCTTCGGGAGCTTTGGAAAATAGGTTGACCCACTCCTCTATATAGAATAGAATAGAATAGAATAGAATAGAATAGAATAGAATAGAATAGAATAGAATAGAACAGAACAGAAC